GTTAGGAGGCCATGATGGTCAGAGGCCAATGGGCGGATTTGACCTTTTACATATATATATATATGTAAAAACCACTCAAAACACTAAATATAGACACACACACACACATATGTAAATATTTATTTATATATTCAAAATGAAATGCATTATTCAGATGAAAATGGGGAAAAAAAATTAAACAGACAGCTATTGCATAAATTCATTATTTGTTTCAATGTCTTTTTCCCCATAGAAAATTGGGGAGGAAATAAATAAATAAATACATTTCACGTAAAACCCTGTCTACACTGGATGTGAAATATGTATTATCATGGATCAAGATAAATTTGCTCCTTTATTAATTCTGACTGTTACATCAAAGCCAGCTCATGATGTTTCTTGTCTCTGGTTTACAAATTTAAATAACAATTTGCTACTTCAGTGCATCTGAAACCCCCTTAACACAGCAGTCATTATCACAGTGAGCACAAGCCAAGCAGCACTGCAGCGGGCAAGACTCCTGCTAGCCAACTACAGAAAGAGAAGTGAGAGAGAGGGACAAACACAAGGAGTCTGACACACGATAAGGACTAACTTTACTTTGCTGCAGTGTGATTCAATCGAGTGTAAGAACAGCTGTCCTATTCAGCTTTAAACCCCAACTATACATGCAAACGATGTTTGAAATAACTGGCTAGCATACTACTTTTCTGATTAAAACTGTATGCAGTTGTAGCAATACTATGTACTATAATAAAATAATAAAATCATTGCATTTGCATTAATATAAAGTAGGATATTAAGTTATCCATTTTACCTTTGATAAAGTCTAGCATCAAGATCAAACCTGATTAATCTTCTGAGCTTTATTATGAATCTGCCGCTAATTAACTGAAAGTTAACCTGATGAGATCAATGTGATGAGGTTGTGACATCCGTCATTGCATAAAGTACACCAAATTATGTACTATTCCTAAAGCATAGTAGGTTTAGAATTAACAGTATGCACAAGATTAGTATTTTATTTTAAACAGAGTACAGTGATTCTCTGATCCTGAAGTCAAGTGCATGAAAACATCACGTCTGCTCTCATTTAGCAACAAATATCCTGCTGTTCTTGACTAATATTCCTAACGGATTGAATTTCTTGTGACCTGGCATCATCATTCAAATTTCTGAGAATAGTTTCTCAAACTCATTGAGTCATATGTTGTCAAATCACGGAGGCATTTCTGCAAACCGCACACAGCGCCTGGAAACACACACGCGTCGTCAACGAGCACATGTTTGTTATGCATATACTGTATGTAGTTACCTGGCAACCAATCAGCAGCCCTGTCGCACTTGGGGCGTGCGTTATATCAGTCAATGCCACACATGAGTGTGCTTTATGAGAGACTGTTTGTGCGTGTTCAGACAGCCTGCCAGAGAATATATGTGGCAGCTCACACCAACCTGACAGCATGTCACTTTATTACCGTGGTCTGATTGTAGCATATCCACACACATTCAGATGCATAAGTGTGTGTTACCTGGTCTCTGTCCTCTCTCTCTCCACTCTTTCCGAGCCTCCTGGAAGGACCTGGCTGACTCTTCTTCATCAAAGCCTCCTCTCAGCAGAGAGCTGTCCTCTTCCTCACCAGCCTCCTCATCCTCCACGTCAACACCGTCATTCACGAACAACACCTGAGGCGAGACCCAGAGAACACAATGAGAGTGACAGAGACAGTGAGAGTAGGAGATGAAATTAAATGGAGCACATGGCCAAGTTTCCACACTCTACAGAAAGTTGTGAGGTTTCGTGTTCAAATGTTTACTTCCTTCCTGCCAACAAGAACACAAGATGCATGCATTGAATTTATCAAAAGTGGCAGTAAATACATTTATATGTTTCATAGATTTAAATAAAAAAAGTGCTGTTCTTTTGAACTTCCTATTCATCAAAGAATATGAAACAAATTTCCTTATTACCACAAACATATGAAACGGCACAACAACACTGATTTTTAACATTGATAATAATAAGAAATGTATCTTGAGCAGCAAATCAGCATATTAGAATGATTTCTGAAGGATCATGTGACACTGAAGACTGGAGTAATGATGCTGAAAATTCAGATTTGCATCACAGGAATAAACTGCAGTTTAAAAAAACTGTTATTTTAAATTATAATAATATTTTACAATATGGTAACACTTTACTAGAAGTCTTCATATATAATGCATCATAAAAGTATATTTAATGCATTAATTATGACTTGTACTGCACCTTGTAACACATTGTATGATCTCATCTATCTAATCATTGTTACACAGAAAAAGTAATGCATTAAAACACACATCTCAAACGATCCATTTCAGATAAATCTGCAAATATAATGTATTTTAACTTTGGTTACAATTATTTATGAAAATATACTGTATAATGCATTACATTATGTACATCATGAATACCTTTATATAGCATTGTGTATAAAGGCATCAAGTTTTACCACTATTTTACTGTATTTTTGATCAAATAAATCCAGCTTTAGTCAGCAAAAGAAACTTCTTTCAAAAACACTTAACTCATACTCGTAATGTCTGTTGTTGTTGTTTTGTGTGTGTGTGTGTGTGTGTGGACATGTGCTGCTAAAAAAATACTGATACTGAAGTTTTCTGCTTAGTTAACATTGAAATGTGAAATAGGCCTACTGCTTGATGCAACATGCACATACAAGTAATACTTTATATACAATGCATTATAAACATTTTTAATGCCTTAATTATGTATTGTAATGCACCTTATAATGCACTGTATGATATCTGCAAATATTATAATGCAGTTTAACATTGGTTACAATTATATATGAACAGAAATAATGCATTATTACAATATACATTATGAATACATTCTTAATGCATTATCCATTTCTAACCGGATTTGACCTAAAGAAGCTAAATGTATGATTAAATTAATAAGCAGTTTGATGTACCACCCCAAACAATCAGTGGCTCACCTGTGTGTGGTGTATTTGGTTTTCAGAAATGGGCCAAAGGCTCCTAGGAGCTGATCTTTTCTCTGTAGCTTCACTTTCATCAGCAGATTTGGGGGATGCACCTTGTTGATTCTCCTTGCCGCTTACCTGCTGCTGGAGGAGGCCCAACACATCCCGAGTGCTGACAGGGGTCTGGAGCTCTGCCTGGATGACGAAGCATAGATTTCAGTCAGACCTTTAATTCAAAGTGTACAAATGCATCCTGTAAATGATTCGGCTAATGTACTGAATGAATGCACACTCTTTATAGGTAAAGCATTCATCCAAATCATTAAATGGATGTCCTGTGTTCAAAACAAGCTTTATAGACAGCATCTGTGACACGCTGTTGCTTCCAATAAAAAATTAATCTGTCAGTTCATAGAAACAAGAAACAATAATGTAAACGGTAATGCACTAAGTCTATGGGGCAGCAGGGTTAAAACTAAAACTTGAA